TTAATGTGTCAGAAAAATTACTTCATATAGGAGGTTAACATGCATTAAGTTGATTGACATGTTGGTATAAAAACACTAATTCAACATGAAATGGAATAAAAGAGAGGACCTTTCAGAAATGATACAAAATACTGTTAATAAAAAGCATTTATATTACTTGTTTTTCTTAGGAACATGAGAACAGCCTTTCACTGTATAACACCATTGGTCCATCAACCCAATTTCCAAGATTTCAAAAGGGACAAGGGGCCAGACTATCTGCAAAACCCAAGACTGAAATAAATTGCACCATTTTATTCTCAAGCAAATCTTTCAAGTTATTTGAAGCATGTTTTGGTCAACTGAGCAATGTAAGGCTTTTGTGTTACACCCAATGTTATTTCTATTAGCTACAACTCAGGAATTTATTTTATTTACATAGTATTCCAAAGTATTCCAGTGCCACAGTGATATAATGGTTATAATCAAATGAATATTTATCTCATGTTACCAGCTCATGGGAAACGATAATCTGAAAAACCTGAAGGGTGCAAAACCTTCTATAAATGAACTAAGATATTTCCAGAAAGGCTTACTGAACAATAATATCTCTTTCCATTCACAGTTTTATAGGGTGTCCCAACATTGTCATCTTTTATTTGCTACCTGCAGGTTTAATGCATATTTAAATTCAAAACAAATAACAGAGAGAGAGAAAAAAACTAAAGAAAACCCTAAACAAAAACGAAACAAAACCATGCAAGGCATCTATTTGCATGCACGCATGTGCGCGCTAGTGCACACACACATTCCACCAATTATTTACTGATAGAAAGTTGGAAGAATGCCATATTCCCTTTAATAATTGCTGACATTAAGAGCTCTCCATTGGAAAGCAGAGGTGACCACCATATATAGCTTGATTTGTGTAGTTCAGCAACTTATCAGATGATGATTTCCTATGGTTGTTATCTGAATTTGTTAAAGCTTCATGTGCATCATCTGATTTAATCAAATCAAATCAACAGGAAAAATATTTCAATGATCCCCCTGAAACACCACATATAGCAGCCTCTACTGGAAGAGTCTGTAAGGAAAATATTACAATTTATCTTAAATTCATAACTGGAAAAAGCCTTAAAATTTCAGCACTATACAGAATTTGCCAGAATTTCCATTATGAACCACAACCTTCAGGAGCTTTTAATTTTTTCTTTAAAAAGCGGTTTTCAAATCAAACTTATATTTGTTCCTTCCCATCTTTTTCATTTTTCATTGGTGAGGAAATTTGAATTAAGTGTAATAGGAGACAAACTGAATTAGTATTTGATGCCTACTTCTCCATTCTCTGGGGTCTGAGTAATGTTCTACTCAGAATCTGCTTTTCAAATTGAAGGTTTTTTTCCTCAACATATTAGCATTCTAATTTCTAGAATGCTGACTTAAAACAAAACAAATCAGATCCTGGCGACTAGACATATAAGGAAAAGTGGGATGGAGACAAAAAGCCCAATCTTGGTCATCAGCCAGGCTGGAGTACTTAATTCTCTAAAATATCACATCAACAATCTTATTGAAACTATCAAAAATTCAGATTTTACAGCTCAACAATTATCCCACTGACTATCCATCCAGGGACTCAACATCTAATACTGCTTGGGCCTAGTTTCCAGATAACAGAGTGATGGGGAAGGGTTCCAAAGTGAAAGCTGAAACAGCTTCTTTCAAGCAACTTCTAAGATTTAAAGAGTAGATATTTTTCATCATTTCAATCCCCTCCACAATATACAACCAACTTTCATGAGTAAAGCTTTTCAAAGGAACTTAATATATACTGTTATGTATTTATTCTCACTTCGTGAGAATATTGAACATCAAGTTCGTTAACAACTTGATCGACTACTCTTTAGGCAGAACATAAATATGGTAAATACAAATGCACATACATGATTGTCCACACCATTTCTATTAATTCAAGGTGTTGGTTACCACCTTTAAAGCACTCCATGGCTCAGGACCAGGGTACTTACGAGAATGCCTTCTGCCACCTATAGCCTCCCACCGACCAGTTCACTCCCACAGAGAGGAACTCCTCAGGGTGCCGTCGGCCAAACTATGTCAGCTGGTGACACCCAGGGGGAGAGCCTTCCCTGTGGGAGCTCCTGCCCTTCGGAACGAACTGCCTCCAGAAATACGCACAATCTCTGACCTCTGAGTTTTTCGCTGTGCCCTCAAGACCCTGCTCTTCCGACAGGCAGGGCTATCTTTGTAAAGTAGTTTTAAATTTGGAGTTTTAAATTTTTGGGTTTTTAACGAAACTTGGCCGTAAATGTAATAATTTTAATAATTTTTAAATTTAATTGGGATTTGTATTGTGTTTTTTACTTGGCTGTGCATCACCCCGAGTCCTTCGGGAGAGGGGCGGTATAGAAATAAATTATCTATCTATCTATCTATCTATCTATCTATCTATCTATCTATCTATCTATCTATCATCTATCTATCTATCTATCTATCTATCTATCTATCTATCTATCTATCTGTCACACAAAAATTAAAACAGCTTTGAGTGGTTTATCTGAGGATAGTGTGCTGTTTGAGCTCAATGTACCTACTTATATTTGACTCCCTCTCCAACATGTTAACCAGTTGGCTTTTGATTTGTCCTAAATATTTTAACTAGCCAAGAAGGGGAAAGAATTCTTTCAAGGTTTGTTATTGAACCTTGTTCCTTCAAGTTTTCTCTTTATTAAACATTCATTATTGGAAAGATAACAAAACCAAACAATTTTTTTCCTGAACTAGATGTCCTCCAGCTAAGTTATCATAAAAGGCAAAAGTGAGTATCTTTTTTTAAGCTAATCTTTTAAAAAATGGGCAATGAAGTGTTAACGTAATAGTTTTATAACAATAGAAACTGAAGAATTTATAAATTAAGATGAAGATAGTCACAGGGCTCATAACAAAGATTCATGAGCCAATTATTCTGTAAGCAAAGTAACAAAATGGAAAAGAGCTTTGAGGACACACAAGATTGCAAGACCTTGAAAGAAATGTCAAAGCTTCTAAGATCATGTCTGATTCTTAAAACTAGTATGTAGCCAGAAAGCAAAAGTACACCCGAAGGAAGTATCTCAAAATGAAATATTTAACTTTTGGATCTGCAGAATTTTCTATCCTCCTTTGGGGTTAAATCTCTGTATTTAATAGCCTATTAGAACAGAGTCTGTGAGTCTTATTGCTTCATTATTTGAAAAAGCAACCTAAAAAAAAAATCAATCAATCCCTAACCCCCAAAAGAAAGGAATATTTACGTATTTACCTATATGAGCCTAACAAATTCAGTTCTGCAGTCCTGACAGCAGGATCACAAATTCTTCTCTACCATATGAAGAATATTAGAGGTGTCAGCAGTCTGGCATTAATCAAATGCACTTTCACAACATTTGTTTTTGCAGGGAATAAAGCTCGCCATTTTAAGAACAGCACTGCCAGCCCTGTAAGCAGCTTACATATTTTGCTTACAGAAGCATCATTTTTTTAAAAAAAGAATAGCCTGAGAAGGAGCCAAGGATGATTTCATGATACATTTACAAAAGGTTTGCCTATTTTTTTTCTTTTTAATGTCAGCATGAATGTATTTCAACCTTTAGAATCATTCCGATATCATTGTATCATCAATGCTGAACTAACTCCTGAAAGTAAGTCACACTAAAGTCAGTCACACTAAATTATATAATGCATGTTTCTAAAAGAAGTATACACATGGCAGTGATTAAGATTCCCATCTCATCATAATGCTCTGAAATATTTTAATGCATCCAACAATTAGGAGATTCCAAGCCACATATGGCTAGGTTGTAGGGTACAAGTGACTCCTTGCAATAAAATGTAGTTTTAGAGTGTTCCCACCACTAGCCATACTGCTAGCCCATGCCATACTTCTAGGTTTTTATTCTGTTCTTTTTATTTCCTTTCCCTATCTCCTAAACAAGCTTGTTCAACCTCAGTGAGCTAATTCGTTTTTTAAAACGATTTTTTGTAGTTCTGAGAACCATGGTATTTCCCAGATTGACTGATACTACGCTCTTGCTCATGGATGCAGAAGAGATATTTCATTTATTTATTTTTCATACTTCTTAACCACCCATTTCCCTCAGATTCTGGCTACAGAAGGACTGATAATAGAAGGACTTTACTGTTAGTGTACAGCAGGGGTATTAAACTTGCGACGACACATTGTTGTCAGGTGACTGTCGCAACTTTTTCCCTTCACTAAAACAGGGGTGGGCCTGCAGGCCGCGGGTTTGACACCCCTGGTGTACAGGGATCAATAGCCTTCGGTTGGTCCGTCCTATTCTGGTATCTTTACCACAAACAAAAGTCAGTGCAACGGTTAAGTTCAGGACTGAACTGCACCAGAGGGACTTTGGGCCATTTTACTCTCTTTCATCTCAGCCTACCTCACTTTTATGGTTAGAATTAGGGAAACCCGAGAGAAGTTATAGGTTAATTTGATGTAATTTTCATATGCTTGATGTATTAGCAAATGTCAAATGGCAGCTTTGGAAGCTATTATGAAATAGCTCTTAAGTTCAAGCTTTTTTTCTCCAGATCTGCCAGGTGGTTTTCCCTTCTTTAAAATGGTTTAGAGAAATGTGTAGAAGGTAAAGGTATTAGTCAGCGGTGGGTTCTACTTACCTTTACTACTGGTTCACAACGGGAGCGTGCACGCGTGCTTGCTTCGCTCACGCATGCTTCTGCACATGCACAGAAGTTCCTGTGCATGCGCAGACCGTCCATTATGATATCCGGGCAGGTGGGCGGAGCCTCCCGCCGCTTTTACTATTGGTTTGCAAGAACCAGACAGCACTGAGAGCAACCCACCACTGGTACTAGTTTATAGACAATTATATTGCCTAAAACATCAGAGCTAACTCCAGGGGCTAGAAAACATTATACTTTTGTTATTTGCTTATGAATTTCTCCCTGACCGTATGACAAATGAAACAAACAAAATGTTAAAAAGTTATGATATTTATGTAGTTACTTACCAAGCACATCTAAATTATATTAAAGTAACCAAAATATCTTTACAATCCCCAAGGCATGTCACAACATTTGAGCACCCCTAATGTTTGGAAGCTGAAAACTGAAAAATTCGACTAGTCCTAAATTATGACATCATTTCTCAACCTTGGCAATGTGTAGATTTCAATTCCCAGAATTCTCTGGCAGGATGAAGTTGAAGCTCACACATCTTAACGTTTCCAAGAGAAACATACTCATCAATGGGCTTTCAAATTAAGCATGCAAAGACATCTGAATAAATGTAATTAATATAAACCTCTTGATGACAACTGATTTTTGATTAATTGTCCAAAGTAAATCAAAATGATAAAGTAGTACTTGATGTACATTTGTCTAGTGACGATTCAAAGTTATAACGGCACTGAAAAAAAGTGACTTATGACCATTTTTCAAATTTACAACTGTTGCAGCATTCCCATGGTCAGGTGATCTAAATTTGGGTGCTTGGCAACTGGCATGCATTTATTTCCAATGACTTGGGGTCATGTGATCACCTTTTGTGACCATTTGACAAGCAAGTCAATGAGGAAACCAGATTCACTTAACAAATGTGTTGCTAACTTAACTGCAGTGATTTACTGTGGCAACTGTGGCAAGAAAGGTTGTAAAATGGAGCAAAACTCAATTAACAACTGTCTTGAAATTTTTGGCTCATTTATGGTTCTAAATTGAGGACTATGCGTACATGGATCTGGGAAATATTTAACTAAACTTTTTAAAATATTTAACTTGCTGCGATTTATCATGCAATGTAGACAAAGAAAACAGTCACAAAATTGATTTCACTGAAATAAAATCAGAGTTAATCCACTTCAATTGACCGAAATATATAGACAAGTCTTGGCATGTACTACAACTTTTTCAATATGAGAAGGACTATTTGATATCACTTGAGATACAGAAATAAAAAATGAAGAACTGAAATACACTGTATAAAATTATCAATGACCTATTTTATGTATTTTTGCAGATACTGCCACTTCCATATATATCTAGTAATAAGAAATAATGCTCTTTTGCTATAGTATTTTTCATTATTGTTCTTTAATCAAGACTCTTCTGGCAATTTTTTCAAAATCCAAGATTGCAGTTTTTCTAGCTCACTTTTGCTTAGCTCATGATAAAGGTTTGGTAGACTCAGAAATGTAGTTGTTACTCCCAGAGCTTTTAACGTTTTGTTGGTTTCTTCTCCCCAAGAATACAGAACCAGTTCATCAGCAGTTCCATGACACTGAAACAATTCTGGGAGTGCTCTTTCATTCTTCTCCAGTGCCTAGTAGCAAAAGAGACATTAACAATCTTAAATCATGTACATTTTTAACAAAAAGGGAATAGATGTCCACAGTGGTGAGATCCAATTTTTTTTACTACCGGTTCTGTGGGCGTGGCTTGGTGGGCATGGTGTGGCTTGCTGGGCATGGCAGGGGAAGGATACTGCAAAATCTTCATTCCCACCCCACTCCAGTGGAAGGATACTGCAAAATCTCCATTCCCACCCCACTCCAGGGAAAGGATACTGCAAAATCTCCATTCCCACCCCACTCCAGGGAAAGGATACTGCAAAATCCCCATTCCCTCCCCACTCCTGGGGGAAGAATATTGCAAAATCTCCATTCCCACCCCATCTGGAGCCAGCCAGAGGTGGTATTTGCTGGTTCTCTGAACTACTCAAAATTTCCGCTGCCGGTTCTCCGAACTGCTCAAAATTTCCACTACTGGTTCTCCAGAACCTATCAGAACCTGCTGGATTTCACCCCTGGATGTCCAGACTGGTGTCTGAATTCATTATCTTCCCCATTTAAAAGACAGACAATTGGACAATAAGGGAGTGTGCAATTTTATGCAATGAAAATAGTATGAACAGAAATGTTCCACCTGGCCCCGCCACCTAAAATACCTAATATTTTATACATGTAGGATGAAGGTCTGCATTGGAAGGCCCCTATAAACAAGCAGGTCCTTTATGCAATGTTCATCTTGCATGATCACAATTCTAAATCAGGCAAGGACTCTACAAAACTGCAGCAGACTCCTTACCTCAAACTTGCTTTCCAACACACAAGAACAAGGAGACAGGACAAGTATGTGAAAGAGAGATATACCCACTAGCAAATCCCTGTTCTCTCATGCATAAGTGCTTGAAACAGTAGTGTTAATGAGTTTTCAAAGAACCAAGCAAAGCAATTTACTAGGGCCTCAAATGGAAATGCCCACAAACAAAGGCAAGGCTTCAACTGCATGAACTTTGCCTCTGAGCTATAGCTTCTCACCAAATCTCTGCTGAAGAAAAAATACTCTGGAAGAAACTAGAATTATGTAACTCCATTAATGGAAAGAACCCTTCTGTCCCTGCCCTCGTATATGGCACAATATTACAACTATCATTTACTTTTAGCCAACTTTTGGATGGGTAGGAACAGACTCAGACTCAACCCATCCAAGACTGAGTGGCTGTGGATGCCGGCATGTCGGGATCTAGAGGTACCATCTTTAGTTATAGGAGGGGAGACTCTTACCCTCTCCGCTATGGTTCGCAATCTGGGTGTCCTCCTGGATTCTCGGCTGTCCATGGATGACCATCTGATGGCCTTAACCAGGGGGGGCTTCGCACAAGTATGTCTTGTGCGCCAGTTGCGCCCTTTCCTAGACCAAGATGCCCTTGCCACGGTCACCCACGCCCTTGTTACTTCTCGCTTGGATTACTGCAACACCCTCTACATGGGGCTGCCCTTGGGATGCATCCGGAGGCTCTAGCTGGTCCAGAATGCGGCTGCACGGGTAGTTACCGGAGTTCCTCGTTACTCCCGTGCAACACCTCTCCTGCGCGAGCTGCACTGGCTGCCGGTTGCTCTCCGGGTCCGTTTCAAGGTGCTGGGTGCTTACCTATAAAGCCCTACATGGCTTAGGCCCGGGAAACTTGCAGGACCATCTTCTGCCTTCCTCCCACCGTCCCATGCACTCCCACAGAGCAGGCCTCCTCAGGGTGCCGTCGACCAAACAGTGTCGTCTGGCGGCCTCCAGGGGGAGAGCATTCTCTGTCGGAGCGCCGACCCTCTGGAACGATTTGCCCACCGAGCTCAGAATAGCCCCGGACCTCCTCTCCTTTCGCCGCGAATTGAAGACGTGGCTCTTCCGTCAAAAGAACCTTGGTAGTACAGTGGTCTAAAGCACCCTGTTATTAAGACCAGCTGCCTGCAATTACTGCAGGTTCGAATCTCGCCAGGCTCAAGTTTGACTCAGCCTTCCATCCTTTCTAAGGTAGGTAAATTGAGGACCCAGTTGTGGGGGCAATAAGCTGACTTTGTATAAATATACAAAAATATGAAGGCTATTGCTTAGCACATTGTAAGCCGCCCTGAGTCTCCGGAGAAGGGCGGCATATAAATCAAATTAAAAAAAAAAAAAAACTTGATCTGCTAAGGGTTGCACAAACTGTAATAATTTTAAATATGGTTTTTAAGAGTTTTTTTAACTTATTTTGTTATTTTGTGATTTGTATTATTGATTGTTGTTGTAAGCCGCCCTGAGTCCTTCGGGAAAATGGTGGCATATAAATCGCAAAAATAAATAAATAAATAAATAAACTGTTCCTGTTCTTAACCTATTTGGTCAAGGATTCCTTCAAGAGAAGGAAACAAGGAAATTATATAACCAAGGCAGATTTTTACAAGCTTATAAGGTATTAATGAACTCTTTTATTGAAGTAATTTGAATTCCATAGAAAAATATAGCATTGGTAATCCATGTATGGACAATCTTGAACTTTACAAAATGAAACGCGTAGTGGACTTTTTGTGCATAGTTTAAGTCTTACAGATGAATTCCCATATGCTCCCCCAATTGTTTATTTGATTTATAACTTGCCATTCTGATAAAAGAAAATGTCCAACAAACAAAAACAATTCAGTAGATGAAACAAATACAGCTACTTCATAATGAATTTTACTGTCTATTTTTTGCCAATTCTGGAATAATTTTATGACTACAAGATGGAACTACAGATTTTTAAAAAGCTAATGAGGATGTACCTGGTAAACAGCTGAATTTTTATTGAGAAAACTTGAAAGAGCAAATACTCCGGCCACCTCTTGGTGATATCTGTAAGCCAAATGGAAAGCCATGCCTCCACCCATTGAAAAACCACCTGTGGATATATTTTAAAGACAAAAAAAGAAAAAAAAGAAGAGAGAAAGAGAGATTAAAACTTTACGTATTTAAAAGATTTCAGAACTGTTTTCTTTTGTTCCCAAACGTGCTGCATATATTATATATTTTTAAACAAGAGTTTTTCCTCCCTTAAAATAATTACTAGTGAGGAGAGAATGTTAGATTCCATGACCACAAGGTAATAGAAAAATAAGCAATGATTAGGTGATACAAATAATACAACAAATGGCTGAAAAGCAAGCAGGACACTTGGTGTTATAGTTGTCATTTGACTGGCAAATGCCTCACTTTCTCAAACCACACTTTGGATTTTATAAATTTACAATTCTTTTGATGAATTAACTTTGCTTTAAGACAATAAGATATATTTCACATTTCTTAAGACTTGAGATAATTGATTTTGTGGTAAACTCAAAATCTGTTTCATATTTCTTGCATCCTTGCCATATTTATTTTAGTACCTTTTAAAATTGTTCATAAAAGTGAATTATTGGTTTAGTGTTTATAAAGCTAATACATATTGAAAACTACATGATTTTCCAAGACAGCTAATGGAGCTGATCCAAAGAGAACCACAAATGCTTTAATTGGATATGTAGCAATTATCTTTTAAAAGTTTCATAAATCTCATTAATTTTTTCTGGCTGAGGATTGATGGTTGGTTAGATGTCCCTGAGAATGGCCTTGTGAGCAGGGACAGCACTGTGGTGGAAATGCCAGTCAGGAACCAGTTACTGGCTGACCAAAATCTCTCCAGAGAGAAGGAGAAATATGGCGATCACCCCCTTGTGCCCTGGAAGAGTTGCTTCTTGCGAGGAGATCACAGGAACTGAATCTTTTTGTGGCTGATCATCGTTGATATGAATTTAGATTTTCCAAACGCCATTTGGAGATACTCCAAATGGCAGGGAAAATAAGAGACTCTTGGTGAGGTACCTTCTTTTTACACTAAGAAGAGGGGGGGAAGCTATCCTAAAGGATTATACCTGTAAAACAGATTGTGATTCAAGAAAGTTTTGAAATGATAAAAGGGTAGCAATTTTAGAAACATTTGTGACCAGAAACAATTTATGGACTTTCCATAAAAAAATAAAAATGAACTTGTGAATTGGTGACTTTGATTAGAAATGAGGCACAACATAATTTTGATACTTTCAAGAAAATTTCAATAATATTTTGTTAAACAATATTGTCAAAATTATGAAAGAAGACAGTTATGATACCTTTCTGAAGCATAGCAATACTTAGCAATAGAGTCTCAGCACATTGTCTAGGATGGACCAAAATTTAGTTGCTTCCTTTTCTAGAACCATCTCAGGTTCTTAGGTCTTAGGTACTATTCCAATCAGGAATTTTCTAACTCAGTGTTTTCCAACTGTGTTGGACTGCAGAATATATTATCCACAGCATGATGTGCTACCTGGTAATGATGAGATTTGTAATCTATCTAGTCTGGAGTACACCAGGGCGGGAAAGATTAGTATTAATGGGACTAAGAAAATCTACGTGTTTTGGCTTTCTCTCTTCCATTTTTCATCTTGTATCATGTCTATCACTATAAGGCTTTAGGCAGATAAGATATTGTTTTCTGAAGAGCTTAGAAAACTTAAGGTATATTAATAAATTGGCATTCTTAGGCAATCTCTTTTGCCATTTTATGCAATATAAGAGTTTTCAAGAGATTAACAACTCTTGAAATAATTAGCGCAACTGGGTTCTATGTCATCATTTCTCTATAAATTGAATCAATAATGTTTCCTCTGCAACAGAAATCCAAAGTCACCAATCCTAGTTAGAAGTAAGTTTGTTTCTAATAATAATGATTGATTTGAATACCTAAAAGCCATTAGTAACTAAAGACTTACAAACCCTTTGGCTGTTGAAACTTTCAAAGCCATTCACCATATTTTTAGGCTTGCCTTGGCTCACAGGATAAGTTCTCCTACAAATGTAATATATTTCTCCTTACAAATCTTACCCAACAGTATTCTGTTTTTCCTGATGCCATTTTTAACTTCATCATCAATCAAACTGTTAAGTGCTTGACACATCACATCAATGGTTTCAGTATGTTCTGGGCAATCATTAGAGATCTTGTATCTGTCAAACCACACATTGGACAAAGACCCCCTCATTGGTGTATATGGTCTGAAAGAAAGATGGATGAGAAATGCATGAGGACAAATTTCATACAAAAGTTTTTTTGTGTTTTAGAATCATTCCCTTTGTACCTAGGAGACTGTGGTGTGTAAAACTGCCATTCAATCATGGAGGTAAGACAAAACTACATCAAACAGCTATGTTTGTTTAAACAAGACCTGACTCATTTTTAAGGGTATGTATGTCTATAGAACATTAAGAGCAAATAGGCTGTTCCTATGCAGGAATCTAACCTCACGTTTGCCAATTATTTTCCTAAACTTGGTTGTGTGTATCTTTGCTTTAGAGCTTCTCTTATCATAGATTAAGAAATATGGAATACAAACAGCCTATATTTAGAGCAACTACTCAGATCCCTAAGTAAAGCGACAAACCTTTAAACTCGGAATGCAGCTCCTCTCCCATTAGCCTTGCTTTACTCCTTATATCATACAATTAACTGCAATTTATTCTACAAAGTTGTGAGAGAAAACAAAAATATAAAGCTAATGTTGCTCTAAAGCATGTTTTTTTTAAATAGTAGTTACAGAAATCCATAATTAAAGAAATACTCCCATCCATAATTAGAGAAACACTTGATAGAATAGGGCATATTAATTCTCTTAAATTCTTGAGTTTCTTGGATAATCAGTGTTAACAGTTTCAACATCAGTAACCAATATTAAATGTATTAAGAAACATTTTCTAAACCTTCAAAAAGTCAACACTGTACTAAGAAGTTCTTCACACAGCTTATGCAGCTTTGCAGATATCCACTAATAAAGGACAACCCATCAATTTGAACAAAACAATGTTTTTTTTTAAGGAATGAAGATTTTTTTAAAATAAAAGGCTGTTTAGGAAGACACTATTAATCCTTTAAAAAAAAAGTCTGTCAGAAAGAAAGATGTGTAATTCCATTTCTTCCAAAATTAAGCTCTGGAATCTAGCCCGCAGTCCCAGAACTGTCGATCCAGTTTAGTAGAAAAATAAACATATGTCAGATAAGGAATGATACATTCTGAATCTGAAGAATAATGGGTAGTAAGGAAGTCTCAGCAATGCAAAATACACTGCCCTCCTTTTTTTAAAGTTAAGATTTTTTCTTGTAAAACGGTTAGCAGTAAATTTAGGTAGACATGTTTGTAGGAATGATGCCATCTCTTCTACATTAGAGAAGCTAAGTTTTCTTTTCCCAATACTCAAGTTTGAAATAGATCGGTCCACTGGTGGTAGCTTCTGATGGCTCTTGGCTTCCAGTTCACTGGCAACAGAAGAACTCAGGGTCAGCATGGGTGCCAATTGCCATACTAAAGAATAGCTCTGCACATATGCATGTTTTGTCAACTCAGCTTCTTTGTTGTAATAAATGCTTCCCAGCTGAAGTTTCTTTTAATTCCATGAATATAATCCAAGAAAGCTAAGCAAAGTTTTAAGTGTCCTCAGTTTCAACATGGGAGATTTAACCACTTGGCTAGCTCTTATCCTTTTATATTCTACTCACTGAAGATGGATGTATAGGCTTAATTATTTTTCTGAATCTGAGCCTCTGGTTGTGCAAAAGTATTTCTCAGGCATTATATTCAGTGCTGTAAGATAGCCTTCCTCTCCAAACCTCAAAATGTATTCAAATTTCTAAAGAAGGAAAATATTTGCTTAATTTAACAATGATTTTAACATTTATTCATAATCCATAAATTCATATTCATTGGCATAACTACATCTGGGCAAGGAGTCTGGATATACAGGTAGCCCTCAATTTACAAGATTAATTTAATGACCATTTAAAGTTACAGCACTGAAAAAAGGATTTATGACTGTTTTTCACACTTACAACCATTGCAGCATCCTTATGATCACATCATCAAAATTCAAATGCTTGGCAACTGGTTCATATTTAGGACAGTTGCAATGTCCTGGGGTGATGTGATTCCCTTTTGTGATTTTCTGACAAGCAAAGTCAACGGGGAAACCCAACTGACTTAACAACTGTGCTAACTTATCAACTGCAGTGATTCACTTAACAACTGTGGCAAGAAAGGTTGTAAAATGGGCAAAACACATTTAACAACTATCTCACTTAGAAACAGAAACGTGGTGCTCATTTGTGGATGTAAGCTGAGAACTACCTGTAGTTAGGCAAGAGGAATCAAAAGTGAATCAAAATCTGAGCAGAACACATATTTGCAGTTCTGAAAATTTGAGGAATAAGGGCTATCGAAAACTTTCAAAATGAAGCAGATCATAAAAGAGACCACACTAGGGAATATTTTAATGAAGTTATATTTCACTTGTGTGCAACATGTAAGTGCTGCAGTAAAAAACAAACAAACCCTCAAGACCCGGTTGCCCATGTTGAGAATAGTTTTTCAGACACTGGAGGCAGGAGGTTTGAATAACCCTCTTATTTAGATTAGGAAATCTTGTTACAGCTTCATACTCTTATTCTGAAGGACTATTTGCCTTAGATATAATTTATGGACCAACCTTTGAAGTTACTATCAGTATTCTTTGTACCCTGTTTTCCCCAAAAGAAGACATCCCCTGATAATAAGCCCAATCGGGCTTTTGAGTGCATGGCAATAAGGCCAAGTGCTTATTTCAGGGTTCAAAAACATATAAGACAGGGTCTTATTTTCGGGGAAACAGGGTAATTGAACAAAAATACAATTATGAACGCATTATGATGGATTTAATTGGAAACATACATTTCTTTTACTGTTCCACTTTTATAAGTGTATGTATTCAGTAATGCCAATCAAGCATTAGACAAACAATCATTATTGACTTGAATTTTTTTTTTTTTGATGCACCATTCCTCAAAATGAAATTCTGATGCTGTTTACCTGCACCTCTTTCAACATCACTGTTATTGATGTAATGGTATTCAGAAGTATCTGATTAAAAGGTTCTACCCATGTAACGTATGGCAGAAAGACCTAGTATATCACTGATTCATAACAGATTCTCCTACACCCCGCTCCCCCAAAGAAATGCACCAGATATATAGGCATAAACAAGGTCGGAGAAAGAAGTAGGCAATGAAAATTTGTTTAGTTTGTTTATACAACTCTGCATGTGACTAAAAACACTCTTTGTTGGTAGAAAGCAGTAAATTGAACCAGGCAACACTTGATCAATCAGAACAAATACTGCAGAGAAATTCTTAGATAAAATGTATAATAAAAGAAATTAGGTAATAATCTTCTAGAGAGGAAAACTGTTACCCTGAGATTTGATAAACGGAACAATATGTAACAATGATTCTGTCAAGGTATTAGTGAAACAATAAAAAAATAGAGAATCTTCCTTACTAAAAGAACAATTGATACATCAAGAACCATGCACAGCACTAAATCTTAATATATAGCCATGGTAAAGCTGTAGCAAGCTGCCAAAATAATTTCAAATGCTTAGAACATGACTTTGCACAGATAATCCTCCTTTCACATTAAGCATCTTGCAGGAAGTGCTCTGAAGAAAGCTTGGGGAATCAATTCTACCACATGATATTTATACATATACAAAAGGGTACAGCTTTACTTTCATTGTCATGGCTGCTTACTTACCTGTTTGGACTCCCCCTCCCTCCCCCCCGTTCATTGCGGTGTAGAAATTTAGAAAGAACTGAATATAATTATGTTTCCTATGTAGAGTTAGTTCTGTTTTTACCCTGTTTCCCCCAAAATAAGATATCCCCTGATAATAAGCCCAATCGGGATTTTGAGTGCATGGCAATAAGGCCAAGCACTTATTTCAGAGTTCAAAAAAATATAAGACAGGGTCTTATTTTCGGGGAAACCCGATATTTTAAGAAATAATAGATATGTTACTTCAAAATGCATATGATTCTTTTATGTTCAATCTATTTTTAGTTGAAGGAAGCTAGCCAGGCAAACAAGATGGTTAGAACAATTAAAAGGTGGTGAAGGATGTATCAATGCCAAAAATGCTGTCCAAATATTTATCACAGTTAATTCTACTTGCGCTCATTCAATGCCTAATAACTTCACCAGTATATATTTACTTTTTTGATACTGAGATCAACATTCTGCTTTTTTGATTAAATGATTCTGAAAAATTTCTAAATAATTACTTTGCATGGTTATGTATAATATCTTACAAAAATGAAGTCTACCTGTATACTAAAGAACTGAGTCCTAAAGAATGTATATTTGGGTTATTTTATATAGCAAGAATGCATTTTTCCTGGAAATGGTAAGTTTAGAAACTTTTTGACTAGTGAATAAATTATGACATAAATGATTATGCTGAGTCTTCTTAACGAATGATTCAATCCATTATTTAAATTGTTTACTCCTTGTATAATGTTTTTTATTTACCATATTTTTTGGACTATAAGATGCACCGGTGTATAAGATGCACCAAAATTTTGAAGAGGTAAGCAAGAAAAAAAGTTTTTGCCCTCCCAGGGCCCCAGGAGTATTCTGCAGGCCTCCCAAACCCTTTGCAAAAAAAAATGGATGCTCCTATGGGTTGGGAAGGGCAAAAACGCGACACGTGGGGCGGTTTGGGAGGCCAAAAACAGGCCCATTTTCACCCATTTTTTGCAAAAACAGGGGCATTTCTGCCCTGCCCAGCCCACAGGAGCCTTCTGCAGGCCTCCCAAAGCCTCTGCTCCCCCCGTTTTTTGCAAAAATGGGATGCGCAGGGCGGGTCAAAAATGGCTGTATTCGGTGTATAAGATGCACCAACATTTCCACCCTCTTTTAGGGGGAGGGGGAGAAATGCGTCTTCTACTCTGAAAAGTACGGTAATCTTTGGTGAGTGTTCATTTTTATTTTACATATATTTGACAATGGCTTAATAAAAACTATTCAATTTTTTAAAAATAATGTATTTAAATTAATTCCACCCTGATTGCTATATAGCTCCATACTGTGCGGAGGGTTGAAGAATAACAGGCATTAGATATCTTTAAATCAGCTCTCCACAAGCTAAAGCCCTAGAGATCCAGGCAAACTTTAAATGCAGACTCTATAGACTTT